TATTGAATATATTTAATTAAATAAAAATATTTATTTATTTAATAAAAAATAATAAAAATAATACATAAATTATTTAATTTCTATAATTTCTATTTTTTTTTTTTATATTTTTATTTTTAAATTTAATTATCACCACACCATCTTCTCAAACTTCAACATCAGCCTTACACTTTTCATCTTCATCAATAGTACTTTTTTAATTAAATAAAGTAATCATAAATTAATAAAATTATATTGTTATTTAAATAAATATATTTAAAATTTAAAAACCTTACTTTGGTAAATTGATTATTATTATTATAGATATTTGCCCCAGCCATTTTTATTTCCTTTATTATTGCTGTTACTCCAAGGTCACCTTCTCCAACATAATAAAGATCAATCTCATTTTTCATTGTTATTGTTGGTATTAACAGTGTTATATAAGTATAAATATAGAGGTAAAGATAATGTTAGACAAAAATAAAAATCATTGGTAAATATATATTCAAGAATTTAATAAAACTTATGATAATTACTAAGTTAAGAGTTGGAGTGATGATGATGGCAGTGGTGGTGATGATATGAATAATTAAAAAGAGCAATGTGTTCTTGAAAGAAAGCAAAAGAGCATTTCTTGGAAGGAGAGCAAAAGAGTGAAAAAAATCCTTTCAAGTAACAAAGCTTTTTTTAAAGAATTCCATACCCATATTATTTATTATTATTATTATGGTTGTTGTTGTTGTTGTTGGTGTTGTTATTATTATTATTATTATTATTATTATTACGTTATTTAACGTTTGAATGTTGTAATGTTGTGGTTTAAAAAAAAATTTTATGGTGGGAATAAAATTTGTGACTGCATAAATTTATTTTTAAAAATGAATTAATCAATGGAGTGGCTGCAAGTGGCTGGAAGGCTGAAATATTAGTCACGGGTTCTAAAAGTAGAAAATTTCAAATGAGTCTAAGATCATCAACTTATCTCAAGAATTGGTAGTTGCATGAGAATCAAAGATGATTTGTTTTATACATCAATGAATGATAATCATGTATAAGCATAATATTATACTATATGCATTACTGCTAATTTATTTATTAACAAATTTCCCCTAATAAAAATTGAAGAAACTTTTTCACTAGTGAATTTTTATCTCCTTGAAAAATTTTAG